TTTTTGTTTTGTGTATTCACTAAAATTTCTAAGTTTTTATTTCTAATGTGTACCTATAAGAGGAACAGCATCCGACGTTGTCGGCATGGATTCAGCAACTAGATTTAGAAATACTGTTAATGATAGAAGAATTGTTACGCCTGGAATAAGAGATAATAAAAAATTTATAAACGAAAACAAAAGCAAGAAATTAAACACAAGAAATATTGCTTCAAAAGAAAATTAACACGAAATTAAATTGAGTGGTTAATAAAAATTTGCAAAATTTCTTATTGTTTTCATTAAGCATCAAAGAAGCGGGACGAGGTAGATTTAAGTAGAGTTTTTTTGTTAAATTTAATTTTTAAAATTGCTTAAAGAATTTATAAAAGATTTATTTTATATTTAAGTTAATATTTATAAGTTTTGTTATAAGAACTAACTTGTTTGTAGTTTGCATTTTTTTTTAATTGTTTAATTTGCTACTTTTAGTTTCATTTAAGAGACATTAATATATTTATCGAAAAAACGTATCCGTTAAGTTAAATTAAAAAGTTTCCTGTTCATTTATAAAGTTGCAATTAGGAAATTTCATTTTTCAATTATTGCAGTTTTTCTGCAGTGTATTTAGCAAAAAATTATTCCTGTGATACTGCAGATACTAATATTGACTTTTGTTGGAAGCTCGTGGTATTGCATTATTCGCTGCTTTAAATGCATACTTCGAAATAATGTTGGTTCGGATTAAAAGCAGGCTAAGAAGAAGTTATAAGAACAAACAGTTTCATCAAAAAGTGCTTGATTTTGGTTTTGAGTTTCAAGGACAGATAAAGTATTTATTAGTAAAACACACTGAGATTTACATGTGGCTTAGCCATTGTAAAAATAGGAAGCTTAAGAAAATGTATGGTATTTTACTGGAGTTGGAAAGTTATACCAGTAGAAGTGTGAACTGCTTATTATTTCAGCGCTATTCTCATTTACTAACAATACCTGCAAGAGAATGAAAACCAAAGACTTTCTTCGAAATTGCTAAATTTGGGATTTACAAAATTAAAATTAAAGTTAAAATAATTTTATTAACTTGATGCATAGAGAATGCTTAATTCTAGAGAGCAGCAAAATCCCTAAGAAGATTAAATTTACGTTATTGCATTTCTTAGAAATACAGCAAGAGAAATTAGTTCATTTTATCACTTCAAAATATTGGATTTACACCACAATGAACGAATTCTTAAATGGCTACCAACAGAGAAAAATGTTTATCCAGTTAACTATCCTTCGAAAAGATAGTACTTTGTATGAAAGTTACAAGCTGTGAACTAAAGACATTATACGGTAAGACATATGTCAATTTATGAGAATATGTGCTTAACGTATGGTTTTTTTGCTATTCATATTAGATGAAAATTGTAATACTTTTACAAAATCTATTATATGTTAATAACATAGTTCCGGATGATAACAAATGTTGTTTTAGGCTTGAAAATCTATTACAAAATCAATTTCGAACAATAAAGGTTCTATATATTATCACTGTACACTACACTATATACCGACTGATATACATCTTCCAACAGATATTTATCTAAATGCTTGAGTAGACATCGACGCGAGTAACATCACTGTATAGCTAAGACCACTGCATTGTTTAGATATAGATTTTATTACTTAAATATTCTTTTTAGCACACAGGAGGCTCTATTAAGCAAAGATCAACGAAAAAAATGTTTTTGTTAAATTACAAGAACTGTATGTACTTAAGTGAGAGTTCTAAATCATACATCATCAATCAATGTCAAAAATTTGACAATGCTTAAAATTTTTGGAACAGCTTGTGATTTCTAGGGAATATACTAAATGAACAGGTAAGTATAATATTTCTGCTATATCATTAAATGTCATAAAATCGAAAATATATTTTAAATAAAATAATCTACTATTTTTTTAAAATATTTTACAAATTTATTTATTTTTGCCAATATTTTATATGTATAGTAAAATTTAAATACAGGGTTACGACAATGAGTTAGTCCCAAGAAGTTGGAATACACAAAGGGTGCTTGGTTAAAAAACTATCCTACATATATGCACATATTAGATCTAAACCAATGCCACCGACAGAACAGATGTGGATCGACTATGGAAAAACAGAGCTAACTTTTTTACCATAATAGATTTTTTTAATTATAAATTAATATTATTATATCAATTAATTAAGAATAATTAATTATAATATTAAATTATAATTAATTAAATATTATGTAAGTGCTTTGCTAAAGTACGGCTAAATTTATGACGATATTGTTAATTACCATTTAAAATATATTTTTCTATTTAATGGTGTAATATCTTCAAGTTTGGTTGTTGCCTGAGGATTAGAGCAATTTTAGAATTATGAAATTAACAGAAGGTTAACTATTTCAGTAGTTAGAAGCTTTTTATATAACGTATAAAAGGTATGTTGCTTTATAAAACTATAAGCAAAATAAATACAATCTTACTCACCTAATATTGATATGTGCACTAAATGAGAGGAACACGAAGTTACGTTCTAATGATATGGGCTAAACTTATTTGGATAAACACAACATATTGAACTCGTGACTAGATTAGATCTTAATGAAAAGTATTATTAAATATCAAAGCTTGGTTAGGTTAGGTGAAATAGCGAATATACGATAGATTCCACACATACAATGTCTGGCTCAATTGTGTATTCGTAGGACTCTTCTTATTAAATGTTTTTACTATTGTTGTTGTTGTTGTGACTTGAGTTAATGCTATTTCGCACTTTTACTCTTTTGTCGTTGGGGGGCTTATCCCTACCACACACTAAACTTCAACTATACTAGAATCAATATCATTTATTTATCTTCTAACTGATGACAGACCGTAGATCAGCATATCTTCCTGTGCGTCCTGATGTGGACTTAAGGTTTGTTAGGGCGGGGTTGGGCAACGTATCAACTTTTGTGAATAGTTTTAGGGCTCTGTCCTTGATACATTTTTTCACTGGGTCGATTCTTTACTATTGTTGATACAGTATTTAGTATACTAAGAGTTACTATGTTAGTCGCATTAAAATAAAAAATAAGAAGTTTTCCAGACTTTAAATTAGAGTTAAATAGCAATGAAATAGGTACTAGTTTCCAATGAAGTGGAAAACTTCGATTATGGTAGAGCTTTTATGCAATTGTACCCAATTGAGTAGAAAATGCTTAAAACTTAAAACAAGAAGAAAATGCCACTCGCAAAGAATTCTTTGCTGACAGATTTATTATTTTAAATATTTTGTTTTCTGGGAAGTTTAATAAGCCTTTTGAAATAAGTTACAGTTACTAAGATACAACTTCTTGCTAATCGTTAGTATCTGCACAATAAGTGACAGCTTCATAATTTGTTTAACACTTTTTGTTAAAAGCCACAAAGATCGTTGCTGAGAACACCTAATATTTGTGCACGCCTACATCTTAGTTTGCACTTGTTTTCTAAGGGCTTCATATAGCCCTTAGAAAGCTGAAGCAGAAGGTAATATCGCTTTTATAAGAAATTAAAATTGTTTAACCAATTTTCTTGAGCGTAAAACTATATGAACAAATTTTTTATAAAATTTTGTTGGTTGTCTATGAAATTTTTATCTATTAATACCAAAAATTTTAGTACAGTCGTTTGATATTGGGCTTAAATCAGGAATTAATTGCTAGATAGGCTTAAAAAAATTCTAAGCTTAGTGACGTTATAACTAAAATACGGATTTAAGACTATCATAGGGATTTGCATAATGTGGAAAATACGTACTTGGTCTTAGTATAAATCTACTGAACAAATCTCAAGCGCTGAAGAGGTGAATAATCCATGGTATTATTACTGTTTTTTGCTTGGTGACTTCGCTTTTAGTAAAAGGATAGGGTGACATACGGACGATAGTTCAGCAAGAAACTGCAACACCGATTGTGATATATTTAAAACGTGATTCTGATCTTTAAATTTAGTAGCGTTCAAGTTGTTTCACTAGTATTTGTAGTCTATAAATTCGGTATAAATAATTAAATCCAAAAAAATTCTTGAACGTAACTAATGATGACATTGAATATGTATATGACATGGAATGGTTTGCCAAAAAATTTAATTAATAAAAAATAATATTTCATTCACTGCAATTTGCAACTATTTGCACCTAGAATAGGTTAGAATTTTGCCTTTAAGAGGCAAAATTTTTGGGATTATTTGTATTGACTATTTTCTATGACAATTTTAATAATGATATTAATAATATCCCAAAAGTGAATTTAGTGCATAAGTACAATGTCGGGTGAGGAACACTTTAATAAATTGAATATATTAAGTCTAATTATTTAAATTTATTTTAAAATATTTGTCTTCTAATGCAACTTTTTAAATTAACTTAACAAATACGATTTTTTACTTATTTTTACTTTTTGATATATAGTATTTTCTTCGATTAATTACATGCAAACAAGACCTTTAAAGTTATATAATTGATTTTAAAAACAATTTTGTCACACATCAATTTATTTCATTTGAAATTTTTTTAAGAAAATATTTAATCCAGCATTTCCTCATTTCGCTACCGCTGCATTGAGCTGCGCTAGTAAAGTTGTTGGTTTTTTTCCAAATCGAAGAAAAATTACTTAAATATATAAGTTATAAACCCCGGTAGTACTGATATATATTTAAGCCCTAAACATCTTTTTTGGGGATTTGAATTTACCTTTTTTATTTTCAAATAAAATGTTGAGTTCACATAAGTACATGTTTTTTTTTTGTTTTTTTTTTTAATTTTACCATTATCTTTAGTATGAAACCTGTAAACATTATGCGGAACTTCCAGTCATATATATAAATTTTTGTTTGTTATTTTGTAAGAAACATATATGTTAAATATAATAATAATAGATATTATTCGTTAATATGATAAATAGTTTTAATTTATATATATGTATATATTGAGAGATAATTTTTTGTGTTGTATTTAAAAAAATTTGATTAATACGTACCTAATGTTAGTTTTTCACCCGAGTCGGGAGGTAGTGTAAATCCTAGTAAAGCCATCGATGATATCAGCACACATGGCACAATTAAATTAAAAAAATAATACAGCGTACGCCGACGGATTTGTATGGTGAACGTTACATCCACGTAGGGCTCCGGACAGCATGCGTAGACAATGGTATTCTTTTTGCCTGGCATGGCTATTGAGAGTGGAAGATGTATTCGCAGAAGTAACACATGGAATTGTTTATAGATGACGTTTGCAGTTTGGATATATATTTTATATATATATCAAATAAGATATAAGTTTTATAATGAAATTAAAGCAAAAATTAGTAAAATGTTTTTTCAAATATGCACACTATTACAACAATTAACACATTACGCTAATAAACTAATTTTAAAATAAAGAAAAATTGATAACAAAACTATCAAAAAAAATTATATAAAGTAAAAAATGGAAACTACTTAAAGTAGAAATATCTAATGAGTTAGTCTATTTTACTACTCACTTTCATTTTATTGCAATTATGGTACACATTCTTATGAAATTATTAATGTATGTACATTAGAATTTTACAATATAAATGAATTTCGAGATATATTTCTATAATTATTGCATATGTTAAAATCAAATATGTTCAAATATGTAAAATATAAATATTGCAGATGTGAATCTGTTGAAATAAAATTAAATTCTCTCTGGAACAGTAATATACTTACATACAGCCTGGTTATTAATTTATCTTGTTATTATTTTTATTATTATTTATATTAAACTACCCACTAATCTATATTATTAATTTATATTAATATAACATTTAAAATTATGTTTTTTCATGTAATAAGTATTTTTTCGTAAAATTATATTTATAGTTTATATATGATACAAATGTATAACATATTAATTTATATTTATAAATATTTATAAATTCTTGTTTATAATTCTTGTTTATATAAGTAGTATTATTATATGATATGTAATATATAATATCGGGAATAATAATATAATATTATTGTAATATTATGTATAAATTTGTATTATATCTTATACTATATATATGACATTATGTATAAAGTATTTATTATATCACACGACACAGTTGTAGCTTTTTGTCAATACGATTATGTGATCTTAATACGCTTTATTGTTAATTTTTAAATAATTTATTTATAATTTTGCCGACATGTACCGGATATATCTAAATGGAAACGTTTTCCATTTACAGCCTACAGATAATAATCGGTATGTTTCCGAAAACATTTTTTTTAGTGGTTTGTAACTTCCTCGCATTTCCCTTCCTGATTATGCGGTGTGTACACCTAAAATGCACCTAATCTGAAATTTAGCAAAAAAGTACTATTTTGCTATATATGTTTACAATTGCATAGGTACCTAAGTAGTCATGGAAGTAATTATTCTTTGAGTTGAAGATATGTCAACCGATATCTTTATGATGAGCATAACTTATTTGGAGCTCTTGTGTTTTGCCAGAGATTGAGCGTAACAGTCTAGTTTAGTATTATATTCTTGTGTCAGAGCTTTATATTGACTTATTTGGGTATTCGCCAAGTTCTTTTTCCAAAAATTGTGTAATCAAAAAATAAGTTATTAGCGAAAAATTGTTTATTGCTCGTATTACTTTTTTAAAGCCTTGAATAGAACAAACCACAAAAAAGTTGAAAAATACTGCCTTAGGTTTAGGAATGTTCTTTTCAATTTTTTATAATAAGTGAAAGAGTTATATCATAGATATCTATTATTTTCTTGATTGTATCTGGCCCATTTTTGGATATTTTAAGATAAGCCAGTAAAGTTCTATATTAGTAAAGTTAATATGCTTTGCTTTTAAGCAGTGAGAGAAGCATATAAAATATGAAATTCTTACTGTAATATAAATAAAACTGAAGATAATACTTTCTTTGCACAATTTACCAAGAAATTGTTCTCTAAGGGAATGTAATCGGTGAACTGGTGCCATCTCTGTTTCGATTACTGTGATTTCATTACTTAGGCACATATTTCTTACAGCAGTTTGAATGAGAGCCAGGTATGATTTATATTGTATCGTGACAGGTTCATTATAGAACTTTCCGAGACCAACCCAGTTGTTGATTTTATTATTGGTGCGTTAGCAACTTAACTCACTTGTGTGTGTTTAATTACTTTGGTTGAGTATGGTTCTATTTACCGTTAAATTATTGGTTTATTTACACCTATTATTAAATCTCTACTTACAGTTCTGTCCTATAATGTTTTAGTTTTTGCATTTTCAAATTAGAATAACTTTTGGTGTCAAATCGTGAATTATTACCAGTTTTTTGTATGTTTCAAATGACTAAAGAGTTAAATAATGCTATTATATCGCCTATTGTTTATCCTGTCACTTCACCCTATTAGTATATTCAGTAAAAATTTTGTTTAAATTGCAGTATCTCACATTGCTATGAAACTCTCTCTTTTCATATATTTGTACAACCTGCCTTCATTTAGTTAAATACTTTATGATCCATATAAGCTGCTCCTTTGTGTGTATTCAGATTCTCTTTAATTTCGCCCTCGCATATTTTATGCTCACCTCTAAGTATTTCCTATACTTCTTCACTTATAAAAAAGTCTTGATTTTCTCAAAACCCATATATAATCGTTAAAAGTTGTGGTGGATTTTATTCATTCATACAGTTTATTTTTATCGTTGACGTAAAACCGTTCACACGTTTATAATTTTCATCAAATTGGTGATAAGAGGTGAAACATTTGTTATTGTTTTTGATATTTTATAATTTTTGTACCTTATTTATGAAATGCCCATTGGGTTTGGAATTAAGAAGAACCCTAGGAGATTTAGCACACTTAAAAAATATTCAAGTTTCTATTAAACCGTTTTAAAGTTATTGTTATTTTGTGCAACTATTTTTATTTCATTTTATTTTTATTTTGTTTTTGTTTCATCTTTATTTTATTTTGATTTTATTTTTATTTTATTTTGACTTTATTTATATTTTATCTTTATTATTATTTTATTATATTTTTATTTTATTTTATTTAACTTTATTTTTATTTATATTATTATTTTTTTATTTTACTTTTATTTTATTTTTAT